TTGAAATCAAATCTCCTCTTATTTTATTTCTTACAAAGTTGAATATAGTTGCTTGTACTTCGATGTTGACTGTAGGACGCATTCACAATCATTACATTGAATGCCAACATCACCATTCTCGTTGATATCTAAGATTTTGCCATGCAAGTGCTTTTGAACCATGTTATTCATTGACCATAACAAACGTTTTCTTGCTCGTGATTCATTTGATCCAATAAAAATTGTCGGAAGAATCAACACAATCAATCTTATCCAATGCAACCTCTTCCAACAGAAGGGTAAAGTCTTGTTGGTCAGATTCTGATGCTATCAAAAATTTATGTACTTTTTATTTTGTTTGAACAATAGTATATTTTGTTTTCTATTTTATTTTCTTTTCTTTTTTTAGCTATCCAATGATGGGAAAGCATCCAATGATCATGGTAGGTAGTGCATATGACTTGGTAGACCTTTGGTTTGCTGGCTCGATTGGTCCCTGGCTGCTGGTGGTTCTCGGCTTGGCTGTTTTGGAGCATTCGGTTTTGAGCTTGTTCCCTAAGTTGCTTGAGCTGAAGTTTAGTAGCTCTTTAAATTCCAAAAAAAGGTACCTCATTATGAAGCTTACTTTTGGAGTGGCCTTGTCCCTTCCCCTTCCCCTTTCTTCTTGTCTCTTGGAAAACCGTGGCTTGTATCAATTGGGGGCTGAATTCTATGCTTTGAATTCATTGGGAAGTTATTGTTTTTAATGCTTTTCCTTTGGGAATTCACCCAGCCTTGTTTTCCCGATCTGTGCTGTTTTTCCCGATGCTTTGCTGCTTTGGATTCGGGCGGGCTGTTTGCTTTCCGAGAATTTGGCTCTTTGGTGCCGTGAGTTTCCTATGATTTCCGAAAAAGAATTTATGCTGGGTTGTTTTTCCGAAATGGCTTGGGCTGTTTTCAAAATGGCTTTTGGAAATTTATGAAAAAAGAAGCTTGGGATGTTGTGAACATTAACTAAGGTGGCTTTTGGCATTCTCCTACTTTGCCTATAAAAATGAGATGATGATGTGAAGGGAGGCAGTTGATATTTGTGAGCATATTTGCTATTAACCTGCGGGTTTATTCGGAAATCCTGCGGGCTCTTTCCAACCTTCGTTTCTCATCCCCTCCGGAAATCCTGCGGGCTCTTTCCAACCTTCTTTTCTCATCCCCTCCGGAAATCCTGCGGGCTCTTTCCACCCTTTCTTCTCGGGCTTCTAATCTCTTCGTCTCTCCGCAAGTGCCACTCCATCTGTATCCTTTTTCTCAACAGTGAAGCAACTTTAGGGTGTCGTGTCTTGGTTGATTCGGAAGCATTTGGACAGTCTTGCAGTGGTGGACCATCGGTTTGCTAGCTCTATGCACTTTACTTATTTATCCTACAAATTCGATGCATGTGAGGAACCCGCTCTGACGGTTGTCTGAGGATAGCGTCTTTTTAAGTTTCTTTATTTCTTTAAAATCTCCTAGCATCTTTTGTTGTGTTTGTCAAGTTTTGGGTCGTTTAAGTTTATTTAACAAAGTTTGTTTTAATTTCTACTCATTGTGTCAGATTTCTTCTTGTGTGTCTATTGTGTTCAAGAAATCGCAAGCAATATATATATATATATATATATATATATATTTGTCTGGTAGTAGAGGTCAACAAACGCACAAGAATTTTTCGACCACCAAGAGAAAGCTTCTTGTGATACTCTAGATTGGTCTTCAGCATATTAACAGCTGATGTATTATAAGCTACATTATCAACAGTTATGGTTGCAACTTTATTCTCAATACCCCAATCCTTTAGACCTTTGTATAATACATCATAAATATTAGTTTCCTTGTGAGGTGGAGGTACATAACAAAGCTAAGCACTCTTTTTTGAAGTTTACAGTCACTATCAACAAAGTGGCATGTTACAATCATACAATGGATATCTTGACTAGACTTCCATAAGTTAGTAGTTATACTCACTCTATTTATTGAATCCAATAAGTTTCTCAATCTTTTTTTTCCCAATTTCATTACTTAAAACACAATCACCCCTCAATGTGGTTTGCGAAATCTTCTCATAATGCGGACTAGCTACTTTCATGACAATGTTGAACATTTCATACTCTACAAAATTAAATGGTAAATCATTCTCCATTATCATATGAGAAATTAGCTCCCAAATCCTAGCATGATCATATTTCCAATTAGTGATATTACCAATATTCCCAAGTTCAAACGTACTATTTGGCAAATGTGGGTGCAAAGAAATATTAAGTTGTCCTTTGGACTCTACAACTCTTTCACTACAAATAAGTAAGTGACGTTGATACTGTGTAGTTGCACCACCTTTGCTTTTACTAAGTTTAAGCTTACAATGGTTACATTGAATTTTCTCAGTACCATCACTAAGTTTTACGATTGTAAATTCCTGCCACACTGATGAGGTTTTTTTTCGTGCTTTCTTAGTAAAAGGATTTTCTTGTTGGACATGTTCTGTTGTAATTGTTGGACTTGAAGATGACTCAATACTAATTTGGACATCATGAACTGTCAATCCTAACTGTTTTGGTGAATTTTCAGACATACCTTTAAAATAGAAGTTAATGATTATATTAAACATGAATCATATTTGAACAACATTAAAATAGCCAAATAAATGCTACACTCCCCAAACCGATCATCACAAAACAAGAATCTAAAAGAGCGTTCTAATGAAAAGGAGAAGCGTTCTGATGGAAAGAAAGGTATGTGAGAAAGAAGCCAAAGAAATATTCGAAGCCAAAACTTACTGTCAACACGAGCTTCAGCGTTATCGGGGGCGTTGTCGGGGAGAAGGATGAGCGGAGAAATGAGAATATTCGTTAGAGTGCCTCGACGAGAAAATAGGAAAGAAAGAAAACGTAGTTCGACGAAGCAGGAGTCGGGGTTTGTGGGGAGAAAGAGCGGCGAAGACCTTCTGAGATCGTCAGTTCACCCTTCCGCCTTCGTTAGCCCACGCGTTTGGGAAGAAAAATTAGGGTTCGGGAAGATAAGATAACGAGCCAACGAGGGAATAAATTATGAGTTTGTCGCCGACCCGCCTCTTTTTTTGACATTGATATCATTCACTAAAATTTAATAAAAATACTTAATTAACATATTATATAATATTTATTTACTTTAAATTTTATTATTTAACAATAATTATGTCATTATATTATAATAAATATAAAATATTTATATTATTTATATTTATTAATTATATAATCAAATATTAATTATTTTTATCGAGCTTATTCACAAGTTGAAAATCGAACACGAATCGAGCTTTTATTTAGTTTCTTATCGAGCTTAATGTCGAGCTTGTTCACGAACTTCAAATGTGTTGTTCGCGAACATAAATTAGCCGAACGCATTAGTGTTAAAGTTTGTTTTTTTAAGAAATGAGTATTTAAAATATTATTCAAGTTTTAGTGAATTAAACGATAAAAAACGAGCTTTAATTGAACGGAACAACGAGTAGCTCGTGGTTCGCTTGCAGCCCTACTCTTGCCAGCAAGTATGTGACACATGCCAAGTAACCAGCGATTTTGTCTCCAAATGGCACTGCAGGTAAATTGTTATGACCAGAGCCCTCTGAACCAGGTGGTTTGCCGCCAAATGACACAATTAAATTATGGTCATGGAAAGAGCTCGTGTGCTCCTCAATGACACTAAATCCTTGAGATATTAATCAATAGGATATAATCGATAGGGCATAAAGCCTTTTGTCAGCTAAGGTGGCTTCAAATTTGTCCCCTTAGATAAATATCCATCCCAGATCTACAAGGTACCTTTGGACGAAGCAACCCATGGCTGCCAACAAGGATCCTTCTATCTGGTTGGATTGACTACCTCCTTTGACTAAAGACCATGGACCACGATGACCGGGGATGGTAGAACCCTGGGATCTTGATCCGGCCCATCATTCATTCCCCCACCATCCGCTTTAAGTGCAAGATGACGACATTTCTAATTTTAAATACCAAATTTTCAAATTTTCAAATTCCAAATGCCCATGCTGCTACTATATGCTAGATACACGTATTTCTATGTATCTGATTGACAACTAGCTTTAATCGAAAGTTCTCTCTTGTTATCAGAATGGGTAATTAATTATAGTGGCTTGTGCCTATAGGAAACCAGAACGTAGATCATAAATTCCTTGCAAAATGAGGGTGAAATCTCTGAGTAGTGTCTTATCTTCAAACCTAATATGTCTTCCCAAAATTTTCCCCAAAACTTAATCCGTTAAAACTTACCCTAAAAACAACGGGGAGGCCAGGGCCGAATTTTGTGAGCCTACAATTAACACCTTATGTTTATTGAATGGAGGATGATGATTCATAAGACCAACCTTGAATAGTTGGAATATGACAAGTATGATGATGTTGATGATGATGGTGCGGACATGGTTGAATGATGTTTTGTCCAATCATTCAGGTTTTATCCATGTCATATTCATAAAATTTAATATTGGGTCGTTTATCTAGAATTTGATTTATTTTTATGGGCAGGTCATATTTGCACATTTTTAAAAAAGAAATCCTCTATTCATATATTGCCTTGTCAAGAAGCCTTTCCTTAATGCATAGGTAAAGCTGGTACATAAAATCTCTCACTGACCCTGCACTGGCAGGAAGCCCAATGCATTGGCATGCTCTAGCTTTTTCCTTTTTTAATGCCTTCATAAGTTTATCATGATCAGTGTGAATGTAGCTTTACTCAGCTTTTCATTGCATGACTAATTATGCTATTCTATTTTGATATTTTTCTTGTATATTTGTTACAACAACTTTTGCCTTTTGACTTCCTATCATTTGATATTTAGATGGTAAAGCTTGCTTGAAAAAGTTTATCCATTTCAAGATCTTCTCTATCACTACAAAATATATCTGTCACGTGCACCTTAATGTTGTGATTGTATCCGGGCTAATAAGTTAAATACTTGTCATTGGCTATAATACTTAATCTGTTATTATAGTCTCTTTTTTCTTATAATGCAGACCATCCATTCTTGTCAGTGATATTTTATGGGAGTTTGATGAATACCAATCTCCGACAGCAGCAAATCTCATCCTAAGGAGAAAAGATTCACCAGGTGATTACCTTAATACTTTTATGAATAGACAAAAAAAAAATTTTAATAACAACTCTTTTTTTTTTGTTGAAAAAAAAAAGAAAAAAAAAGAAAAAAGAAAAGAAAAGCTTATAATCAAAATCTTTGCATCATAGTGAAATGGTCATTCACACTCTGTATTTTTTTTCATTTTAAAATTAAATTTATTATGGAGATGAATTACTTTATTTTTCTTAAAGTTGAACTTTATTGAATGCATTTGAGCGAGATTTCTTTCTACCATATGAAATTGATTTAAAAACAAAGAAAAATTTTGTTCATGGTTTATAGATATAGCACACCTAACTTCTATGTGCGCGTGTGACACGATATTTGGACCTGTCAAGGAAAGTTATAAGGCATCTAAGCAAGGCAAATTTCCAAGTTGTGGCCAACATACAAAATCCTTGAATTTGATTGTGGTGAAATGCACTGGATTTTACATACAAAGATGGAGTTTGATAGGTCATTATTTTTCTGGGAATGAAAAGCGTTGTAGGACTGTAAAACACAATAAATATAGATCGTTGGCGTCGCACGTATTTTGATGCTCAACGACAAATTTAGATGAATTTTTGAAGTCGTTGGAATTCAACGTAATTAATTTTATTAAATTCTACGCGAAATTTCGATCGAAACGATATAAAAAACGTATACCTAATTTCGCACGGATTCAAAGTTAAAAATTGGCGAATGTTTTCTTAAGTGTAAATTACCTTGATAGCCCTCGTAGCTGTTAAGAGGTGTTTTAGGCCTAAGGGCACATGCGTAAATTTTTCTCCCATTTCCCTTAAATCCTTAAGAGACCGAAATATTCGGTCCCTTCATGCGTTCGGCTGAAACTGAGAGGGGGCGTACAAGAGAAGGGAGGCGGCAGCTTGGAGCTTCAGTGGCGGCGGCGGCGGCGGCGGCCGCATTTTTCCGGCAGCCTCCTTGGGGGAAATTGAAGAGGAAGATTAGGGGAAGTTTAAGGTATGTTTTACCTAAGGGATTTTTCATTCTCTTTGTAGATTTCTTTAGGAGAGATTTCATGGTTTTTCTAAAAACTTGGAAATTTTTAAATGAAAGTGATAGGAAATGTTAGGGAAATTATTTTAACCTCAAAATTTAAACTTTTCTCAAATTCTTGTAAGATTTCAAAACTAGGGTTTCTTCCGATTTCCTTTTTCTTTCAAAGTGTTTTTGCAAAAGTGATAAATTGCTCTAGAATTTTTCAAACAATATTTCATTTTGTTATAATAGTATAAACCATTATTTGTAATGAAAGTTGTCTTCTTGTAATCTGCAGGATGTATTTTAATTTGATGATATATGGAAAAAGAATAAAAAAAACTCATTATTTTTCAGTCAAATGTGGAGTCGACTTAAGCATCAATGGGTCGTTGTATATAGATGTCCTTAGGGTTAACCAAGTTGAAATTATTGAAGTCAATATACATCTATCATTTGTCATCAACTTTTGCACTATGATGACATTAGAAAGCCATTATGAATATTGAATTTGTTTGATGAATTTGACCTCAAAAAGCTTTTGAACAATTAACTCTACTCTTCTTTCATCATCAAAACCCATGCTTATTCAAAATTGCGGCTCTGATTTCTCTTGAAAATTGGCACTTCCTCAATAATATCAGATCCTTTTTGAATATCCAGCAGAAGAATCTCCTACACACTTCCAACTGCTTTTAAGTAACACGCCTCAGCTGTAGCTAGTTGCCAATAATTGTCATTATATGACCCGGTGGAAATTTCATTATCACATGATATGTGGAGACAGCTGCCCTTAAAATGTTATGCAGTGGTTGGTCAATGATGGCATTGTACGCAGTAGGTGCATTGATTATCGTGAAGTCAGCCCTTGCGATGATTTACCTTTTGACATTCTCCACTATTGTTCAACAATTCAATCACTACATTTGTCTTTCTCAACTCCCCAAAAAAGCAGAGGCCCAAAAGTTGATAATAGGCAAGAAGCCCGAAAGTTGATAATAGGCAAGAAGCGCCCAAATTTATTTTGTCATACACTCTTAAAAATGATATTCACCTATTTCCCAGTGTTTATTAGGAGGTTGCCAATCTAATAATTTGCTATAAGGGCAGTGGCAATTATTACATTGTTATACAAGTTCCCATTTGTTGGTTGATTATCGTCAATGAATATGATAGGCGACACTTAGTAGTAAGTGCCTTAATGGTACTCACCAAGTTTATCTCTCTCGTCCGAAGTTTTGAACTTTAGCTTTTGAAGATGTCTTATTTCTTGCTCATTTATCTATACCATCACTCCAACGATATAAATCACATGCATTAAGATTGATTCATTTTGAGCTTCTTCCATTGGCACCTTTTTTGACCTCCTACCTGCATGAGTAAGGACAATTTTTTTTCTTACAAGAAATTATTAGGTGCTTCACCAAGCTCCTTGGATGTTGGTACTTCTCGGTATCATGCTCGTGATCTTGGCGGCATGCAAAGTATTTTGATTAATCACAGTGGTTCCCTCTTGCGATCATTGGCCCCGGTCATTTTAAGTATCATTATTTTAAATGGCATCAAGAAACTTGCTATGGAGACTCTCAGTGGAGTCCCAGTCGATAGTGTGCGAAGTTGAGGTGGTGGCAACCTCTATCTGCGGCGATTATCTTGTCGCTTGTCTTTTTGCACATGGCCCCTAGTATGATGAATTGATGAAAGTTAGTATCTCTTTTTCTTTTTCATTGTAAAATCTTAACTTCAACCCCTCGATTCTTCATGCAAATTCTCTGGTCCTTTAGAAATCCTAGATGGTACTCTCCTTCCTCATTTCTTTCGGACTAGTCACAGTGTTATACTCCGCATTTACAAGATGGTTGATGAGTTCTAATAACTCAGCCAAAATTCTTTACAGTTGCAAGTTGAGTGGATGTTGGAAAGGACCCTTATGCAAATCTTCTGTCAAAGTGACTCGGGCCACATCTACTTAAAATCCTTCATGTCAAGCATCTCTTTTTGGAATTGAGTGATGAAGCACTTTAGAGGCTCACTTGACTTCTGCCTCATTTGCAACAAAGCTTGTGAATTCTTTAGAAGCCTTTGCATGCTGACAAATTGAGAAACATCTTATTAAACTTGGCAAATTGAGTTATCACCCCAATTGATGATGTGGGTGTAAAATCTGAAAACTGTCGTTCGAATGCGTTGCACGCATTTCGATGTGCCACAACGAATTTAGAAAAAATTTCAAAGTTGTCGGAATTCGACGAAATAAATTTAATTAAATTCTACGCAAAATTTTGATCGGAATGGTATAAAGAACGTATATCAAATTTCGCATGGTTTGGAAATGAAAAATTTCCGAAGATGTTTAAGTAACATTTTATCCTTTATTCCCGTTTTGCCCTTCATATGACAATAAAGAAGAATTTGTGAGAGGGGTACATGTGTCTTTTGTCTACCGAACACCTTAAAACACTAAGGGACCGTAATAATCAGTCCCTTATTCATTCCTTCTGCCGAAAGAGAGGAGAGGTGGGCAGAATAGGGGAAGGAGCGGCGAGAACTCACGGAATCCGGCGGCGGCGTCGATTTTCCGGCGTGCTTTTGGAAGAAAATCAAAGGGAAGGCTTAGGGAAGAAGAAAGGTGTGTTCCTCATGCAAGAAACTTTCCTCTTTCTTAAAATTTCTTGGAGAAACAAATTAGGATTTTGCTTTTTGTTGGGTTTTTCTTAGATGAATGATAGTGCTTTCTTAGGAACATGTTTCTAAGTAATAAACATGAAGTTTTCTTAAGCAAAAACTTAGGTTTCAAAATTAGGGTTTCTTTTAAAATTAAATTTTGCTTAGGAATGTTGTTAGGAGATGTTTAGAAGCATGATTAAGCTATAATTTGAATTTTATTCTAAAAAAATTTAGGTTTTCCAAATTAGGGCTTTTCCTAATTTTCTAAATTGAAGATTGCATTTTAACTAAACTTATTCCTAAGGGTCATGGGATGTCTCTAATTAAGAGAAATTGGAATTTTGAGAAAAAAATTATTTTTCCTAATTTTTTTATGTATTAATCCAAAAATTAAATGCCCTAAACTTATAATTAGAAAAGGGGGGTTTTTTATTATGCAAAGTTAATTATATTAGTGAAGCATTAGGTTTCCCAAAATTTGATTCTAGGTAAAACCGAAATTTACATTTAAATTTTATTTTATTGAAGGAAGAGATGTGATAAAATATATTATATTATGGGTTAATAATAAGCTAATTAGCAATTAGGATTGGTTTATAATTTATTTTAATTAGGATCTATGTCAGGTAAAGTTTACCTTAGATTTAAGACTTATGTTATATGTGATGAACATGCTTTATGTGATAAACATGCTTATGTGATAAATAAATATTTTAAGGTATGAGTAGGTGAATGAGTATTAATGAGCTTAAGGGAAGTAATTTAGGTATGACATGTGTAGGGTGTTTAGTGATTTGGGTTGATATAAGAGGCTTATATTATAACTTTTTCTTAGGACTTGAGAAGAGAAGGTATTAAGGAGAGATTGAAGAAAAGACACTTTCAAGGGCAACTTTTGAGGTAGCTTACTCTTCGTATTCATGTTCCTTTATGTTTTTGTTTTGAAATGCCTCATTAGTTGATACATATTAATTACATATGAAATGTCCTTCTTATTTGATAAAAATGTTCATTAAATGTTCTATGAATCAAGGCATTTTTGATATTCTCAAGCATATTATAGTTCTTATTATGTGATAGTAAGCAAAGCATAGAAGTCTTTTTTCATGAAATTTTGTCTCATACTCAATACATATGCGTGATATGAAAATGTTACATTACCTATATATGTTTCTATGGAAAAGAATGATTGAATGGTTGTGTATGTTGAAGGCGGAGTACTATATATGGTGCAAAAGCACAAATACGGCTCTTATGAGCAATATGGCCCATTGGGGCAAAAGAGGAAAGGAAATAAATGACCAAAAAGATGTTTGTGTACCTGA